GTGGGGGTGGGTTACGCGCGATCCTAGGGCGTCATCTAACGCTAAAGGGTTTCTAAAGCATCAAATATTGAAGCATGGTCAAAATGGTCAGTTAGGTGACGCCTTGGGGGTGAGAATGGGCTGAGATATATACTCACAGTGAATGTAGTGAAATGTCAATATTATAAAGAAAAATAAAATGATAAGATCAGTGTTTTTATTTGTTAATTCAAAATATTAAAGTTACACTTATGTAGTTTTTCAACCTTCCTAATATATTTCTAAGACCCTTGCGATGGTACATCGACTTACAATAGGTTAAATGGCAGGTCTGCCACAGCCTGATGTGGACTGTTTCGCTTTTACTTGCATATGTAACTTCAGGTTTCGAGTAGTAACCAGAGCACAAAAAGAACTACAAAATTCGACTGCTTTACGGCATACATCACTTCCCTCATCACTTCCTCAAATTGTCTGTGGCCATTGCAGATGTGATATAGTGGATTTTATTATGGGATTTTATGTATATAGGGTATCTTTTCAAATGCATTATATTAGTAAATGTTATTTTTATAATATTGTTTAAATGCTTATTTGTGCTTTGTTTAAAAAAAAGAAGAGTGTTATGTTCATTTATTAAATTCATTATTTTAATTTGGCATGACGTCATCGCACTTTAGTTTGGTGCGTGCTGTGATGTGCTTCATTAGGCTTGTTTGAGATGAGCAAAATCTGTGCAGAACCGATCACTAGTGATCAGCGCGAGATATGCGGCATGCCGGTTAGAAATGTGTCCGAGTGTGGTCAAGGGGGTAAGCCTCGCGGGGGGCTGCCATTGTTAGAATTCCATTGACTCCCATTAATTTTGGTGTCACTTTGACAGCGAATAATTTTACATCTGAGGCGTCCAAAGACTCCATTTGTCCATTATTTATTTATGAAGAAACACGACAATGTATAAAAGGCTCCATTACATTGTATCTTACGTTATGGCCCTGTAGAATTAATTTTTGTAAAAACAGGCTAACTATTGCGTCATAACGAATCGACTCTCTGTTGACATTAGAGAAATACCATATAGACAGGAGGAGAAGCTCGCAAGCTTCGGACGTGGAGGAATAAAGTCCGATAAAGTTGAGGGAGAAGCCCATAGAGAGTAATAAAGTTGATCCTGCTGCTAGCTCATGGACAGCTAATACTCACTATCTCCGTCTCTGTGAGATTTGGAAGGGAATTATTCAGATTTCACTCGACACAGCTACTAGAAGACATTCCAGAGAATCACCATGGACAGCTACAGTATATGTGTGTTCTTCTCCTCAGCAGCAGCCCATGTCCATCAATTATACAAGTCATCCTTCAGGTTTTGCAGCATCACAGTATTATCCCCAGCAGTACATGGAGCCACCACAACCGTCCCCTTATCAGTTTCCCATCCCAAGCCCCGTCCTTCACGAGCAGACAATGTTTCCATTGCCAGCAGCGTCAAGCAGAGGCACCTTGCACCCATTGTTACCACTGTGGCAGCAGTGAGCATTTCTTAGCTGGCTGTAGGAGTAAAAATCACCAGGCCACGGCCACAACTGGTGCGTATTTGTACAGAACTTTCAGGAATGCTTTCCTTAGCATAAAAAAAAAATAGAGTACATACCTTCATTAATTTGGTGACTGCAGAGGGACTCAACATATCGTGATGGCCTTGAACTTTTTGATACCCTCCTCACTCCGAAAAAAGGGATGGTCGCCCAGTGGTTACTATCAGTGTGGAGAATGGAACAGACCATGACATCACACTCAGCGGCAGGATAGAGCTAGGAACATTGCAGCTGTTTAAGTCTGTCTTGCCAACGCCAAAGCCACAGCCTCTGTCATTCAGGGTCCACCAGAAACAACTGGTAGAAATGGCAACCAGGATTCATGGGACCCTCCACTTGATGCGAGCCATTTTACTCTGCTCCAACAACAACAATTGAAGCTGATGTTGTGGGAGGAAAGTCATGCCTCAAAGTCAGATGATGATATTGGCTGTGTTCCAGATTTACAACTGAGCATTTCTTTAAATGATAGCACCCCTGTTACCCGCACATACACATCAGTTTCTAAACCATTATACCAAGAAATGAAGGACTACTTACACAACCCGATTGCTCAAGGATGGGTGACCAAGTCTCATCGCCCATTCTCTGCATCCAAAAAAAGATGGCAGTCTCAGGCTGTGTATTGACTATAGGGGCATGAACAGCAAAACAATCCCTGATTGGCAGCCAATAACCAGTGTGCAGGATATCCTAGATGGCTTGGGGAGCAATCCGTGGTTCTCTCTTCTGGACCAGGGAAAAGCATACCACCATGGGTTCATGTTCCCAGCAAGCAGGTATCTGACTGGATTTATGACACCATGGGGCCTTCACGAATGGATTCGTATCCCTTTCAACCTTATGAATACGCATGCAGCATTCCGGCGGTTTATGGAGGAATGCCTGGAAGGATTGAGAGATAAAATTAGAATACCTTATTTAGATGACATCCTGGTCTTCACTGAGTCCTTTGACAAACAGGTAGAAGCGGTACTGAGAGTGCTGATAAGGTTGCAATCCCATGGAGTAAAGTTAAAAACCAAAAAATTGTGAGCTTTTCAAGAAGGAGGTACGTTACCTGGGAAGAATTGTCGCAGCTCTCCCGGATTGCCAGTCCCCTCTACCTCTTAAAAAACAACACTGATGGTCAACCACAGAGGAAAGGAAAGCAAATCGATTGAGTGGACAAAACACCATCAGGAGATACTTTAGAAGTTGATTGACTGCCTGGTTCAGCTGCCGGTTTTAGGGTTTCCAGATTTCTCCCAACCATTCATACTCCATACGGACGCATCCAACCAAAAGTTGGGAGCAACTTATATCAGAATCAGAAGGGCAAGCTTAGAGTAATTGCCTATGGTTCCCGAACTTTGACAGCAGCAGAGAAAAAAATACCACCTGGACAGAGGAAAATTGGTATTTTTAGCTCTGAAATGCCACCGGGTGTAGATGGGTATCAGAGCTTGCAGACTTCCACTTTATCATCCGCTACCATCCCGGTAAGGAAAACGTAGATGCAGACTTACTCTACAGGATGCCAGTCGACCTGGAAACGACAATGAGAGAATGCACTGAGAAATTCTCCTCTGACTGTGTAGGAGTTGTAGTACAAGCAATGTATTCAATTTTAATCCAAATGTCCCTTGCTGTGGCCTTTCAGAGTGTACCAGTATGTGTGGAAGACAATGACGGACTCCTCAAACCCCTGTCAAAAGAAGAAATTAGACAAGCACGAAAGGATGACAAGGACATAAACGTAATCATTAAACACTTACAGACAGGATCTTGGCCTCCTCAGCAGTGGCGGTCGGTCAACTCGCTATCAAAAGTTCTTCTGAGAAAATGGAATAAGCTAAAGCTGGATGAACATGGCATTCTGTTTCGCAAAACATTCCCCAGGAAACAGCTGGTATTACCCACTCAGTTCAAAACATCTGTTCTAAGGGAACTGCACAATGAGATGGGTAATCAGGGTCTTGACCGCACCACAAGCCTTGCTAGGGATAGGTTCTTCTGGCCCTACATGCAGAAAGACATTGAGAAATATGTCCTGAGAACCTGCTCCTGCATCAAAAAAAGAAAAAAATCATGCCGTGAGACAAGAGCACCCCTTAAAACTATCAATACGACCCACCCATTCGAATTAGTGTCTATTGACTTTTTTTAATTTAGATAAATGCAAGGGGGGTTATAAGTAAATTTAAGTTATCGTTGACCACTTCACCCGGTTTGCACAGGCCTATGCCACAACCTCAATATCACTGGCTGATCCTCTATTCAATGATTTCACCCTCAAGTTTGGTTTTCAAGTGAGCGAGTGAGCGAATTCGGACAGCCGTTTCTGACAGAGACGCATTCTGACACGCGTCCCATTTTCTCACAAATCTCTACACACACACACGACCCACAGTCTTTTCTGTGGGTCGTGTGTGTGTGTGTTAATAGGCAGGATTTAACGACTACTGCGTAATTGCGTTCAATATTTTTAAGGCTTTAAACTTTTTTTTCACATGCCAACCGCGGTGCCGCGGTGGGCATGTCATGAAACCGGTGTTGCGACTGAACACTGGTCACACCGACTACCGTAGCAAGCCTAGCGAGGCTAAATTATTTACGACAGCGGTAATGGACAATTCCACTTCCAACCTGTAGGGCGACCGCAGAGGAAAAGTTCCTTGTTGCTTTAAAAACCATTGTTTGGTATTTGAAATAAAGCCAAAATAAAATAAAATATAAATATTAGATAACATCCGAAATAAAACTAAAAAATATCAACAAAAGTACAAAACTAAATATTTAAAACTAAAATTATAAAAATAAAAGCTCATTCAAAATACTATACTTAATTTGATGATTCTGATAAACTTATACACAGCTTATACTTTCATTATTAAAACTAAAATTAAGTCAATTGAGTGGCCTCCTACTTTGTGTGCATGTATTTGGTTTACTATAGGTACTCATGTGTTAAATTAAAGGGTAATGAAGGAATATAAAATATAACAAAATATTTGAATATTAGGGAAAGTGCAAACGTGAGCCTGTGCATGTAAACCGACTAAAACGTCAAGAACGTTTTCATTTTGTATGTCGTTGAAGGCTCATTTTGTCTAGAGCATAATGTTTGCTTTCTCAGATTCATGGTAACAACCATAATGAAATTTATGTCTGTTATTTAAAAAAAAAAAAATCCAATTTGGAAAGGCGCTTATCTGTGATACACACAGACAGCATACAGAAAACACATCAAAGTGCAGATGTAAGGAAAAGATTATTGTGAAGAAAAACAAATGCTTTGATATGTTGTAAAGATGGTTTAGCTTTGATCGGTTGCTGTATAAACAGCAAAGATCTAGACAGTAATGTCTATCGTGTGGTTTTCTTCAGCAGGATGTGCCTCTGTTTTAGTCTATGCCTTCATGTTTATCCCATATAGATTCAAGATTAAGGTATTTTAAAGCTTTTGCAAAACAAAACACACTTTAACATACTGTTTTACCCTGTTTTAACCACACCTATGAATAATGAAGCTACTTCAGACCAACCCCTTTTTGATTTGCGTCCATAGACATCCCGCTGGTTACATAGCAACAGCGCTGAGATCCACCCACAAAGTTACTTGTGTTTTGCGCTTGATAGTTTAGCTTTTCATTAGCGTTAAAAGGAATAGTCAAACATTTACGTATATTTAATGATGCATAGATATCATTCAAAAACCTATTCATTTATGGAATCAGATGGAATAACGAGTTAATACATAAGATAAAATGTATTGCATTTAATTTTTAAATAAATGCAACTCTAATGACTTTAACTCTAATGAAAATAATTTCCCCTTTGCTATGAGAAAAGACGGAACACGTGTGAGACCTTTACCTCTAATCAAATAGCGCCATTGGATCGAATTAGACTGTCTAACAGTAGCTAAACCATGAGTCAGCTTCCATTAGTCCATTAAGGTAGTGTCCATTTTCCAGACTTACTGGAGCAATAGATCTGATGAAATATTGCTTGCAATTGCATAATTATAGAACTACATGAGAAGATTTCCCAGAATGTTTCACTTAGGTGAGAAAGGTCTGTTCCCTTTTCCTTCTGTAAGGGATCCAATTGAGGCAAGAGATGAAAACCCAAATGCAGTTTATCACAAACAAAATTAAACATGAATTAAAAACGGACATGAACTTACACAACAGAAGTCAGAGTGAAACAAAACTTTGAAAGACACATGGCAAACATGAGGGCATAAATACACAGATGCAACAATGAACAGACGATTAACCAATGACAAGACACATGGCAGTATCACATGACAAACAGGAAATCACATGACAGACGTGGATTATGACATGAAAAAAACATCAGTTTACACCATCACTTACAGATCTCTAATCATAATCTCTGCTTAACTGTGAAGTGTGGTGAAACATGAATGCATCAAAATCTTGTGTCCACCACAGTAGTAACATTATACTGCAAAAAAAGTGACCCTAAATGCACATTCCACTAGAGCCTCCTCTTACTAACTTCTTCCAAAGTTTGAATTCTTGTTTTCAAATCTGATCCTCACATCCTTTCTGGTTGTCCAAGTTGATATCTTTTCCCTTTTCCATCCATTTTTTGTTCATCTGATGTAATACAAGCAAAAACAAGGCAGAGACGAGAAGAGCCACGCCTGCCATCAGGAAACCAGCACCATAGTCACTCATTTTGTCTATAAAGATTCCTGTAGAAACAGTGGGAGAAATTATTTCATCATTGTCATTAGTTTCACTTAGTATGAGTAAATGAATGGACAAAGTAAAGCTTAAAAATAACAAAAAAGGAATATGAAATATAATAGTAATAATAATAATAAAAACCTAGATATGTAATATCTAATGTTTTCTTTTTTTTTAATAATGAGGAAAAAGTGCACTCAGAACTGTCATCCATCCATCCTGTATTTGCCTTTTTTTTGCCATTAAAGGCAGATCAATGAAAATGTTTTCTGAAACTGTGGAACGTATTTGAAATCCAGACCAAACCCAAATTTCAATTTGTGTAATTTTAGGCAGTCAGACCAAAATAAATTCTTAAAATTGTTATACACCAAAAAATCTCAGTAGATATGTTTTTTTGACTGCATGTAAACATCTTAATAAATAATAATATACATTATATGTATAAAAAAAATCTCAAAAACAATTAAAAATGATACAAAACATGTTATCTCTAATGGCTTCCTTTTATCAAAGGTAAGTGATAAGTGATATAATAATGTCAAATCACGTTTTGTTTTCCTTTAATACTGAAATCAAAGCTATTAGTTTGCCATTAAAACACATACTTGCCCATAGAAATCTCACCTCGACCAATTCTAGGCTGTTGTAGGTGTTTGCAAGGGCATTTGTATGCGTTTTCGAAGGTATAGGAGGTTGATTGGGCACAAGCACCTAATTAGCCTGCAGTTGTTCGTTCATCATCCCACCTCCTGTTTTTATGCCCAACCTGCTTTCTGAATGCACATTTCCCTGTACATTATTTTAAACGATCAATCAATTAAGCACCAAGGAACAGAGCGCCTATGAAATCAGTGATGCAGTGATTATTTGAGTCATCTTTTATAATGCCACAGTAAAGGAGTTTTCCAACCCGATTAAAAGTCACTGAGAATAACTGCAGCAGAGCTAATTTATGGTGTAATTACACTGCTGGTTATGGAGCAGCAGACACTTCCAACCTGTAGTGCCTAAAAAAAGCGTTTCTCTCCTCCCAACCATTAGTCTGTGCTCTATTTAATGGGCTAAAAACCCAAGAGATTCATATAAGGTACATTAGTCTTCCAGTATACAGATATGGACATGGTTTTGGCAGTTGATCCTTCTAAATGGACAGATGAGGCTTTTCTGAATGATTTAGTGTTGAACTGCCTACAGCGTAGGAGAGGTTTTTGGCTGTACAGGGGGAGAACTCTTCCAACTTGTACCATGTCTTGGCAGATATTCTGAAGTGAAAAACGTTAGGTAAGGGCAAAATGTCATTATTTCTACATTACAATACCATCTATTTGAAGCTGCCCTATCAGAGCTTATCATCTGGTAATCAATTACAGCTATTATATGTATTGCTGTTCTTGGCTGGTAGATTGTTTGTTGATTCTTTGGCCACTTTTGTAGTTCCGCTGATGTATTGTTGCAGTACCGTTTGTGATGTGTTCTGAGCAGAGGGCACAGAAAAAATTACAGCCAATGAAACCAAATGAACGGTTTAAGATTTTTTTCAGGGCAGTGGCTTGCTATTGAAAGGGGGAAAGCAATTTATGTAGTGACCAATAATCCATGAAATTAACACAATAGCCGAGTGCATTTCTTTGAAAGGCGATGTTTTATGAGAAGATAACACAGTATTACTGTAAACTGAATCCTGTCAGGCATTAATGAGAAGCCTCATCAAAGAAATATGATGAGGGAAGGGAATGCATTAGGATGACTGATAAAGTGCTTCTTAAACAATAAAACAGGACATCTTGTGTTTGCACAATGTTAGACTATTGAGTAACTTCTATAGAGTAAAGTCATTTGTCATAATAACTTACTCAACATATAAATAAAGAAACAAATAAATCTAAAATTTATCACAAATATAATATAATAAACTTTTTTCCTCATCTGTCCATTTAGAGGGATCAACTGCCAAAACCATGTCCATATCTGTATACAGGAAGACTAAATATATATAAATCACAAATATAGTATAACCATAATAATTGATTGTAATAATTATTAATACCAATTAATTACACATAATTTTAATTATATATTACATTATATTTGTGATTTATTTAAATTACACAATCAACTAATAATAAAAAACACATATATAATATAATAAAATAAATTACAAAATATAAAAATTATATTATTAATTAGTTAATATAAAAAAAATACTATTATATTTTTGTTCTAAATATTTTGTGATGTGTCTTACAAATATATATCTAACAAAAGACAGTCCATATATATATATATATACATATAGTAATTATACTATACTATATATATTTAATTATAGTAATTTGGTCAAATTACTTTTAAACATCTCACCTGCCAAAGGTGGTCCAAGAAGGCCACCACTGCTGCGGATGAGCATGAAGAAACCCAGAGCACTCCCTAGCCTCTCCACCCCCACCACTTCCGCCAGTACCGTGATGTGAATGGATACGGTCGCGCCGAACACCAGTCCGTAACCCGCACTGAACAGCGCTAGCTGGGTGAAAGTGGTAGCTAGAGGGCAGAGCAACAGAACAATGCCCAATAGAATAACTGTGACAGTCAGCTGATGGACTGTCTTTACCAGCCGCAGATTAGCCACCCACCCGAAGAGCAACCGTCCTAACAGGTCCAGCACTGCAGAGATGGACATGAGAGCGGCTGCCTGGTACTCCTCCACTCCTTGACTGCGGGCATACGGAACCAGAAAGAGAGCTGGAGCGAAGAAGCCAAGAGCAGCAAAGACACCAAACATTGTGTAGACCATGAAGCGAGCGTTAACAATAAGTGTGTAGTCCATGTAACTTGTGATTTTGACCTTCAGTGGATCTGATTTTTTCGAGTCTGAACTGTTTTTTGAACTTTTCAAATCTGTGTGAGTTTGCGATAACAGTTCCAGCTCATTACAGTCATTCTCTACCAGCTCTTTAGAAGGAACATGTCTGTTGAGTGGTCTTAGAAGAGCTCCGCACAAACACAAGTTGAGCTGGAGAGCCCCCAGGATCAGCATCGCTCCCCTCCAGGAATACTGATCCACCATGAACTGGAATGATGGGGTCAGGATGAAAGTGAGGATGCACTCTCCTGCGCTGGCCAGAGCATTGGCCACCGGCCGTCGCTTTTCAAAGTACCAGCCCAGCATGGTGACTGTAGGGGTCCAGGTAAGGGCGTAGCCTAATCCTGTAGAGGACAAAACAAGAAGGACATTTAGAGCAAGCATTTTTTTTTCTTTGACAAGTCATTCATTTTGTAGGGTAAAACGTTGTATAAATGTCACTGGCTAAATGGACAGCAGTATTGCAAGGTTATAAGTAGGCCTATTACACATTTATTTTTAAAGTACAGAATTTATATATTTTGAATTGTCCAATTTTGTCAAAATATTTTGCTCAAATGATCTTTGGACTGAGCTGCCCAGAAATGACTGAACAGAATTTCATGACATACTGGTAAAAAAAAAAAAAAAAAAAGTTATGATGTTGCAAACTTAACAAGGTCGACCCAAAATATGTTTAGAAACTATATGGCCAAACTTTGATCAACAGAAACGAAAATCGGTAAGCTTCATCAGAACGATGTTCTGAGGGTCCATGCCAAAGTTATATGAATAATGGCTACTTTGGCTAATAACTTTTGAACAGTTTGTCAGAAAATCATATGTGTATAAAAAGGTATGGATTCCTTGTGTCATGCCGAATCCATGGTTACTTGAATTTGCCAAGATTGGATGTACCACATATCCGCCATTTTGAATTCTGTAATAATTGCCATATCTTTTAAACTATTTGACATATCTTCACAAAATTTGGTAGGGATCATCAACACCATGACCTGAAGGTACATGAGAAGTTTGAACAAAGCGCAACCTAGTTTTCAAGAGATATAAGGATTTTTGCAAATACGCTAATAACTTTCGAAAACATTGTTCGAAATTATTAAGGTTAACCCAGAGATTGTGGGTTTGAGTCCCGCGTGTGATAACTATAAAATTGTGTTGTGTTACGTCATTTAGATTCTCTGGGTGAGCGTAGTACTAATCTTTCTTCCTCTTGGATTAGACAATTAATATGTTTTGTTCGTTCTGTGTTCGTTCTCATCTGAACTTCTGTTCATTTTGTGTTGATATTTCACCTATACTTCTGAACCAGCTGTTTTTCCATACATTCTGCTGCTGCACTGCTTTTGCTGCTGCTACATACATTTATGGGAGTTTCACTTTCAGGCACAAAATTTATGGGAGAGTATTTAAATGAATCAATGCAGGGTGATTTACTATGGTTTGCACTCATCAATTTAATGGTGTTTACGCCATTATTTACCACCCCAAAAAAGCACGTCTTAAACCAAACGCTACCTGATTACATTGGTCATTATGGAAATGATCTGACTGCATTTGTTCTTTAATTTGCACGTCATCAGTAGATTACGCAAACAACTTTCCACTTCATAATCCCAGTGATGGGTAGGTTTAGGGGCGGGGTTAGGGGTAGGTCATTCGTATGAATTCATACGAATTGGGTAACTCGTAATATATGTATGATTTAGCAAAAATCGTACAAATTCGTGCGAGTGAGGTCACATGAATTTGTACAAATTATCCACCCTGTAAAGCTACCTGGCCCTTAGTGTTTTATTAATCAGACAAAACCAGTAGATTTAAAAAATAATAATAAAACACAGTAAAAAAAAGAGTTATCATTTATATAATTATAAATAGTGCATAATCAGTGTCTAATATTTAAATAATAATTAAGATTTAATTTAACTGATTAATAAAAAAGAATAAAGCAAACTAAAATATATGTTAATACTAAAAGAAAGTGGTAATTAATGAATTAAACAAAATGAATAACTTACTCAAGCAAGTAATAAAGAATCGTAAATTAAAGAGAAATAGTGATAATGAACAAAATATATTTTCATCGTTTTTACTCTAAAATTCTAAAGCCTAGTAGACAAAATGTTCTTCTTTCTTTCTTTGCTCCAACAACTTTCCTGCCTCATCATATGCTTTTCCCTCTCCCATACAGCTGCTATAATTGGCTTATGACCTTTTCAAGTTGTGAATCAACGATGAAACAGGGGAAGCGTGAATGTGTGTGTGCAGGAGCACAGCCATATGCTCTACTGCTGGCTGTGCTTTTACCTGTAAAGAACCCCACAGTGATGTACAGCTGTAGCATATCCTGGGCATACGACCCGGCCACCATCCCAATGCTGCTCAGCAGACCCCCCGCCATGACCACGGGCCGATGACCGAAGTACGCGCTCAATGCAGAGCCTACAGGGGCTGAATCACAGAACAAGCACACACTTATGACATTAGCCAAGTGCTCTGTCAGCCCATGTAAAGCTATCATACTGGGAGACAGAGAAATGGAGGGTAACACAAACTCATATTTCCAGTCTCCTGCTTAGATATATTTCAGTCTCACAATGTTTAAAGGTCTGATGGTGCCGGAGAACATGAAAGTGGCTCTGACATAAATTAAAAGATTACAGTGAGCTTGTGTGTTGGCATGCATCTTAATCACACATTAGATCAACAGAAAAGACCAAGTGTGACAGAGTTTTTTTTTTTTTTTTTACCACATATTCATTTTGACATTTACAAACAAATAAACATCCGTCAGTACATGTCTGCAGTTAGGAATTCAAAGGCAAAGGTTACTGAGAGTGTAAGGGAAGGGAGCCCCCTGCTGGTTGAAACTGAACCTGGTACATACCCCCAAAATGTACTGTTGCCACAGAGATGGATGTGATCCATGAGCTTGTAGTCGCCGTGGTTGCAAAGTAGTGCTGGATTTCTACGAAGAACACACCAAAGGACTTGATTACACCGAATGTCAGTCCAAAGACAAGGAAGGTGGAAAGCACAATGAACCAGCCATAGCCTCCATCCGGGGGACCTGCAGGCCGAAGTATTCTTCTCTTCCCTTGTGGTTCCATTGAAAGCTCAAAAGAAATGTTCATCATCTGCCATCTAAAAAAAGAAAAACACGTTTTTATAAAAATGGAAACGCATAAATCCACACTGCCCCGTCAGCACTGATCTTCTCTGAGCCCAGTAACACGAGACGAAAGTGATATAGTTCATCAATTATTATCTCTGTGTCAAAACAGCTGAAGAATGATTAACTACAACATGCCATAATCACATTGCGCCAAACTGAACTAATGTTGTGTGCACATGTTTTTTTTTTTTTTTGTATGAGGCAATGAATATGTAACCACTGTCAATACCCCTACAAGAATAGTGAACAACACACTGTAAACTTGTGGCTGACCTGCACCCACAAACAGTGAGATAACTACTTTTTCAGTTAATTCTTTGGCAAGTTCCTGTCCCTCAGGGCGATTTATATCCCCTGATATCTCAATGTGGGAGAAGGTCTACTGTCCAGACAGAGAAACTCCACCCCAAGTAGTGAAACAAATCTGGGAAAGATTTTACGAAGCAGAGGTGAACCATTAAATCTCCCCATCTCTGAAATGAGCCGTCACCTTTACCTCCAGCCATAGAGGGCGGTGTGGTCATGAATACCTTAGAAAGGTTTTCACAAAAGGGGACTCTTATTAAACCTGAGCTAAAAAAAACCCTCTTTATTTGTTTGACATCAAACATGACATCATGACTTTTGCGTAAACATACACACCACTTTCGGCGTGTTATCTTTACGCATTTTGAGCTATCCGCGTGTATGTGTGTATGTCTATGCCGATAAATGTCCGAGTGATTCCGCGTGTATGTACATGCCGTTAAATGCGAAACGAAGCAAAATGTAGATCTACATCTGTGTAGCGATATTTTTTTCCCTAGGATGGTAGGGGATGACCAATAAATGTTATTAACCCCAGTGACGGGTAGGTTTAGGGACGGGGTTGGGGTAGGTCATGTATACAGTAATGTAACGTTAAGTTCATAAACACGCTGAAAAGCGATTATGCGTGTTGATAGCACGCCAAAAATGGAAATACGAATTGGTGTGTCATACATACGCCATTTCAACTTCAAGCCTGACTTCGTCATCGTCAAACTCATATTCTAGTGAGAAAGTGCAGTGGCGTGCTTTCTATGTGATGTGCCATTCTCAAGGGGGTAATCCACCTGCCGCAAACTGAAAAACATGTTAACTCCTAACTAACTACAAGCGTTACCTTGTTATCCCGCAATGTTTACACAAGGTAACGCTTGCAGTTAGTTAGGAGTTAACATGTTTTTCACTTTAAAATAATGGACCACATCGATTCACTAGTAGTTCCTGCGGGATGACAAGGTAACGCTTAAGTAGTTATTGAGGAGTTAACATGTTTTTCACAAATGATACAAGTTATTTAATTTTATATTTGACACATACTGTACAGGTTCTGTGAGGCACTAATATTCTAACAAACACTGTAATCTGGAAGATGTGGTTTTGGGCTTATCGTAACATAAATGCAGCCAATTTCTTCATTAAAGATGCTAATTGTTTTTGACAAGTGCACATCAATGTTTATATTCATGTCCTAAAGAGAAACTACTGTAACATAAAGTTATAGGTCTTTGGAGTCTGAGATATATGTGACTGACATTCAATAGAGCTCATAATAGTGAACTAATCCAATCATGAGAGTGTCAGCATCACTTCCTAATTATTTAAGGTTTATTTTTTTTTAAAACTGTCATTATTAGTATTATTTTATGTTAAAGTTTTAAATAAACAGAGAACATGCGTCCATCCTGGCAAGAGTAGTGGTCACAATCTCAACATAGCTAATGTATTTGGGGGGGATGTATAAACTGGTTTCCACAAAGAACCCATTTGAGGCACATGCTTCTGAAATGTTATGACCATGTTAAGAATTTAAAACCCCCACAATTGTTCACTTTTTAGACATGTTACTTTTGTGATTAGTAATTAATTGGTTATTATTTCTTAGTTCACAAGTAGTTCTCAATGAGGATATATTTCTTTAGTAATACTCAAATACCTACCAAGGAACTACCTTTGTACAAAATTACCTATTACTTAATGGTTAGTTAATATTGCTTCCATATTAGTTAATAGTATTAAGTTCGGTGTTAATGCACCTATTACTTCCTGCATAGCTACTTGTTAACTACGGACCATTATTTTAAAGTGTTACCCTAGAAGACATACAGGTTGCTCACGTGACAGGCTCAGTTTGAGCTTGCGCAGTACACCTGGCTATTAACGGGCTTCAATTTTCTCTGTTGAAATCAATGGGGTCACTGTGTCCATTTCTTTTACTGTCTATGGTCATTCTGATTAGAGCTTCCAGATAAGCGAGATGAGTTTTCCAAACTGTGTTAAACTGTGTGGAAATATAGCTTTAAAAAGGTTTATTTCTACCTCCTAGCTCCTGGATGATAAAGGGCACAAGGTGCCGTTTTAATTTTATGTTGTATGCTAAATTTTGAGAGACTAAAGTGTTTGTTTCCTTCTCTTTTGACGCTTATGCATGTGTGTAAATCAGTGATATGTTATTAGAGTGTGTGTATAATTGATTGTTACTGTCACATGCAAAACAGTGTAGTATTGCGTCCTTTCTCTTGATTTAAACGTCTGATAGATTGTTTGCAGGAAATTAGGCCTTTATTTTGCCCTTTCATATATTTTAGGTTTTTGTCTCTGAATTGATATTGTCAGCTGTACAAAATAATTCATTGTTTATTCAGTTGTGTCATTTAGTAGATATTTTCTCTTTCTGCTGAAGGAGATACACACCTGCTGTGGCCGAGTTTCACGGGACCTCACTTGGATGATCTCTGGACCTGAATATAAACAAGCTGTTTTGTTAATGAATTAACTTACCCTGTACAGAAATGTGTGTAGCACATCATTCTCTAGAGTGCATAATAACAAGATGTGCAGAAATAAACAATTAATTATAAAGACTAAATCTCCTTCATACCCTACCCTACTTTTTTAGATAGAATAGTAAAATACATTTTACTGAAGTTAGCAACCACACCAAGCAGAGGACCACAGCTTGTTTAATTATATCATTTTAAAACTTTCCTTTTGATAAATATGATGAGCCTTCTGGTGCATTCAGCATTCTAAAACATGTTTTGTTCGACGGAAAATGTGCTTCATGTGATAGCATCTATTAACTGGTTTATACAAGTCAAACATATTATTTATGACTGAAAAATCCTGAATATATTAGCCAACAACAATAAAAAGTCATTTCTAAAGATCAGATAAAATAGAAATAGGTAACAACTGCATTAGAATTGGCCAAGAAAAGTGCAGACATCAGCTTTTTTGATATATTCCAATAGGATGTCCCATAAATCCTTATTTTAAGACCCCAGAGTTCCTTTAGTATATAATAATAGGATTCTGAAGATGAGATGGTCAAATAAATATTTGACCTCCAAGAATTTGTGCTGCTCGTAAGTTCAATACTCAGTAAACAAATCTATACATGATATTATGCTGCCTAACTGTTGAAATAGGATTGTCCAAAGGTCATCATATTGGATTTTTTTTTTTTTTTTTGCATCTTGATTTTTTTTATCAAGATGCAAACCTGTAATCTTGGGCTTGAACTACTGACACTCAACTTAAATTGAGGCATAAACAACATTTTACCCTGAGAACAGTTCAGTAATAGCCTGAATCTCATCTCTCAGCCACTGCCCTAAACTTCATTGATTAGCGAAGGTCGTTTAAGCTTCCTCTGATGTTTGATCTTCACTGCTTGGAATGTTTTGAAAAACAAATTAAATGGAAGGAAAATTAAATAAGCTCAGGGGCCAATAAAAACTTGTTTAATTTGATGCCCTCTCCCCTTTTATGCATGTAAAGTAGGAAGAGTTTCCTTAAAGGAAGGTTAAACTGTCAAATGTGCATAAAAACGGCCAACTTTAAATTCATTCAGCCGTAATTTTTGCCTCCTGGACAGGCACTTAGACACTATTAATTATAAAATATATGGCGAAAAGTATTACAGAAATACTATGAAATACAGTGTGCTTAAAAAAACAGGATGGATAATAAAAACTTGACCAGACATGTTTGCTCATAACTATATAGAAGAATCAAATTGACATCGTTGACACTGCAATACCTGTTAAACATGTTAATGTGTGTGACACATAATGTAGATTATAATCAGGGCTTGACATTAACTTTTTTGCTCACCAGCTACCGTCAAATGGTTTTTCAAAGTGACTAGCCACTCAGCATTTTCAATGGCCACATTTTTTGATATTGATACCATGGGAAAAAAACTATTATCTCATAATTCGGCAGCAGGTATATTAAGCTGATGTCACTTTAAGACCTGACTCACAGATTCATTACACTGTTACATATGTTTTTTGTCTCAACTGTAACATAACTGTTTATGTGAATACTTGCCACAACTACACAAGTGTTTTGACATTATTTTGTTGAATGTTTAAGTGCAATGAGCATCGAAAAATAACTCAATTTAGTACTTAGGGCGGCATTATGTGCGAGCACTTTGGGCGCGAGCACAAAATCTGCGGGAATTAGTAAAATTATGCATAATGTGCGTAATCCCAAATTAGTTGACATGTGGCTGCAAAGTTACTTAGAGTTAGTAGACCGATCCTGGTTAACTGTCTAGACATTGGGGAAAAAAGATGAGAACTCGATTATTATGACACTGACACTAACATTATTGATTTCTACTAATGGTTAGAACTGAAATTATAATAGAATACTGAAAAGGAATACCTGCAGTGTAAAAGCATGAAAGCTTGATAAAGTGAGTTATGAGTGAAAGTAATATTTATCTTGCATAGATAAAATTATATTGGCTTGCATCCCTTTTTACAATGCTTTTGTCTACCAGAGCTACACCTGATTTCAGCATTGAAAGTCTCAAAACACATGCCTACGAAATTGAATCGTCATAATAAACTGCCATTAAACAGTATCATGATAATCAATTTTACAAATTATTTTACATACTGTAGAATTAGTAACGTCTGACATAATAATGACATAATTAGTCACCTACGTCACTGACTCTTAAAATAATATATTTGAAAGTCAATAGTAAGTCAATAGTAAGAATTTTTAATGTATGCTCACTAAGGCTGCATTTATTTGATCATTGTACAGCA